TTGCGGGAATCACCGCTGATTAATACGAGAAGATCATCCGCGTACGCTATGTATTTATCCCCTACTCTAGCTTCCAGAGCCTTAAGGAGTCCGTCAAACATGATGTTCCAACAAGTTGGACATAAAACCGAGCCCTGCGGACAACCTATGGTGGCCTTCTTCGATACCGTTATATCTCCGAAGGAGAGAGAGACTTTCCTATCACGGAAGTAGTCAACTAGCACTTTGAAGATGTTAAAAGGACAGTTCCTATCCCTAAATCCTAATAATACGAAGGGCCACCAGACGTTGTCAAATGCGCTCGAGATGTAGAAGAACAGCGCAATGACGTATCTCTGTTCAAAGGCAAAGAGCATCAGTCGTAGCTCCACGGCAGCGTTCTCCGTCGACCTTCCGGGTGTGAAGCCGAACTGCCGATCGGAGATCTTCCCCGGCGAGAGTGACGTCTGGTTGAGTCGCTTCAGAAGAAGCTTCTCAAAGAGTTTCCCTATTACGGAGAGGAGACAGATCGGCCTGTAGGATTTGGGGTCCTCCACGTCTTGCCCTTAACCTTCACCAAGACTCTGAGCGAGATCTCCTTACAGATCGAGGGTAAAACGCCCCACTGAAGGCACCCATTGAAAAGCCTAATGAACTGACCGGGGATTGCCTTGTAGGTGGCCTTCAGTACCGAGACCTCGATGAGATCCAGGCCTGGCGCCTTGTTGTTTGTCAGAGATCTGACTGTTGCTGCGATTTCTGCACCCGTGAACAGAGGGTCATCGGCAGTGTCAGGCATATGGTATGCGCTTTCTCTGACTTCGCGCTGCTGTAGCGTGTCCTAGTTCTCCCGGTCATCCGGCACGTACACGTCGAGCAGGCGAGCAACGGTCTCCTAGGGTGACGCTCGAGGAGTTTCCGCCACGGAGAGTGATCAGCACTTTGTCAACCCGGAGCTTATCGGCCTGATGCTCATAAACAAATCCCCAGGGCTTCGAGTTGCCTTGCTCCGTGACAAATTTCCGCCAGCTTTCGAGTTTCGCTTTCCTTACCTCCCTGGTGTACTCCCGCAAAGAAGAGCGGTAGACAAGCAGTTTGGCGGAACGGGTCGGCTTAACACTTTCCTGCTGGTATACCCGTCTGTCCCTATATACGATTTTCTTTTTTATCGTAAGATTTTTCTCCACCACCCGTTGGACTTTCTATATTGCCTTTTCCTTGGCATTGCCTTCTCACAGGTGCCCATAAGGGAGCCCGCAAGAGCATCCGTGAACTTCACCACGTCCTCCGCAGACGTCAACCGAGGACCTCAAGTCTCGATACGGACAGATCGACGAGGCTCTCAGCGAACTTCTCCCAGTCAGCTCGATTGGTGTCGAACCGAACTTTCGTAGTTCGCTGATATTTGCCTCTGACTTTTGGCACCATCAGCCTAATATCCAGGGAGTTGTGGTCACTGGTTGTCCAGTCGCAAAATACCTTCCACTCGCCGATGAACTGGCTGATGGATGGGGACGACAGGGTCAGGTGGATGTGCGACGATCCCCATGACGTCGAATAGGTGGGCGGCTGTCCGACAACATTAAGGACTTTGTATTCGCGAGCCCGGATAAAGTCCCTGGAGCATCGCTCTCCTATCGTCCAATTTACGGTCACCCCAGAGAGGGCATTGGCGTCCATTCCCACCAACACCCTCTGCCCCCTCAGTGAACGAAGCACCATTTCGAGGTGCCTGAGGTGGTCCTCTATCTCGTCGCTGTACTGAAAATAGCACGATGCGACATACAAGGAGAGGACGTGTGCTCGCACTTCCGCACTTGCGCTGTGTGTCGTACTGAGCTGCGAGACAAACATTATCTGGAATTCGGGGTTGCAAGCGACTACTGCGGCCCAAGGACGTTGCGCGCACATAGCAGCCACCCTCATTCCTGTCCCTAGCCCGACGAAGGCGTACCCACTGCCCTGCTTCCGGACGTGCAACTCCTGCAAGAGCAGGATGTCCAGTCGCTTTTGGACAATGAGTTAACGAACCTTCCCTGTCACCACAGCCGAACGCCTCATGTTCAGCTGCAGCATTCTAATTCCCGTGGATCTAAGCAACGCGGGCAGTGAAGTGCTCCTGGCTAGCACCAGAGGCACGGAAGAATCGACTACCTCTACTGGGGTTTAGGACGAGGTCGCGATCGCGGTATTTACGTTTATCGCGGAGCTATTGTCAGAGCCTATCCTGATTTGTTTCACACGGTCGAGGATTGCCGGTTTGAGCAGCTTATTATATCTTTCTAAGCTAACACTGACAGCACGAAGGCTGAGAACCTGGGACCGTGCACCGAATTGCTCTGAGCCACGGATATGCGCGGGCACGGTTGGTTGAGGCGCCCTTCTGGAAGCGGGGGCCTCAACCAAGCGCGCGACCGAGCGTGCATGCGACAGAGCATCAGAGGATCCCCCTGCTTCCAAAGCTGCGGCCCTGTCTGGTCGGAAGCGTTCAGCCAGGCGGACACTCCTCCTCGGCTCATATGGCATCATTGGCGTCATTGAAAAATTTACCCATAATATATTGAATTTGGGGGTCAGAATGTAGGTCGAGCAACGCAGAGTCGCCTTACGTTGCTAAGCCTAGAGAACCCAGGGGGTCGGCAGGTACCCCGGGGTTGTATCGTTAGCGACTGCGCATATTTTCCGTCCTCGCAGCCATTCATACCCTCGGCACGATACTTCCACCTATTATGACTGTAAAGGCAGGTCTGCGCGCTCTAAAAATAAAAGTGAGAACTCCGGTTCCGTCGTCGCTGCGGACAAAGCCACAGAGACGCAGGGTCCGGTAGTTTTAATTTATAAGCAGCCCTCGCGCGCTTTCCACGCACCGCAATGCGCAGGAGGAGGGCGGAAGTGAGCTGTCCCGGAGATGAGGTTTGGGTGGTTGCAGTTTTTGGGTGAGTAAGGCTTTTACCGCATTTGAACCAATTGCGTGTTCGCGGTAGTGCTCGGGTGGGATGTGGGAGTGATTTACAGAGAGGAAACGTGGAGAGGAGTGGGGGTTAGTGCGATGCGGTCGGGTGGCGCCACCTCAGCTCCAGAGAGCTCAGCGACTGTCACGGCGGGTTTCATACCGCTCGAGACGCTGGCCATCCTTTGGCGCCTCACTGTTTCGTCGTCACCCTTTACGCTACCGCAACGAACTAGGGAACCTGAGAAAGAAATATATATTAATACCTCCGGTTCCGTCGCAGCTGGGGCAGAGCCACAGAAGCGCAGGGCCCGGTAGGTCAGTATAACGCAGCCTCTGCCCAGCTTCCCCGCAGCGCCAGGGTTGCGAGGAACAGGGCAGTTGGGAGACAGGCCGCGGCAGGAAGGGGAATACTATGGCTTTATCGCATAAGGACAGTTCAATTGTCCGCGGTAACGCGCTGATTTTCTCGATGGTAAGGAAGAGGCGTCTTTAAAGTTGTACCGCTTAAGAACTACTTATGCGTTCGCGGTAATACAGTGGACCTCTCAGAAAGTGTGGGAGGGGTAATTTTGTGGGTACCGCCTGAGAACAGATTTCCTATTCGCGGTAATGCTTGTGGGAGTGGAAGAAATGGGGAGATTTGGTTTTTAACTGCGTGGGAACAGATTATCTGTTCGCGGTTATGCAGTGAGATTTACAGGAAGGATGGAAGGTGTAAAGTTTGGAGAATACCGCGTGAGAACAGATTTTCTGTTCGCGGTAATGTTATGTTAATAAAGGAAAGGATCAAAGGGAAGGGAAGGGAGGTGGGAGAATTCGTCAACAACCCCAAGGCTCCAACACACCAGCTTGCTGTCTTAGCGGATTTCATACCGCTCGAGCCGCTGGCGTGCCTTCGGCGCCTCGGCACCAAGCCGTCGGCAGTTTGTCCCACGAGGGACCCGCTGAGCCTTCCCCCCGTCCAAACGAGAGGAAGATTGCGTAAGTCAGAGTCCCGTCAGCCGCCAGGGGGAGTGATTGTTGCGACCTCCTCCAGCGTTTCCGACTCACACCACGAGGAGGTGGGGTTGGCACGTGGGAGATGCTGAGAACCAACATCTCCTTTTTAATAGTCCGATATTTTGATATTTTGAACAATAAAACTATCCGTTCTAGGACCACTAAGTCGCTCATTTCTTCTGTATGCAAGTCGCAATGTTTACGTTGTCGCAAGACTCATCCGTTGTATCTCTGTTCTAGTTTTAAATCATTATCACCAGATAAGCGAAAGTCGTTCCTGAGACCACGTAGTTGTTGTTATAACTGTCTGGGTAAAGAACATTTTCCATCAAGTTGCCCGTCTCATGGCCGTTGTAGACGCTGCCAGCGAAAGCGTCATACGCTGTTACATGACGACAATACTCCCTCAGCTGATACAAACAGCTTTAATAAACCACGGGTTCGTACATAAAGGTCTACTTCAGACATTGCCAAGATCTCGGTAAGTGACTGATTCGAGACCTAGCGCGTCTCTTAGGATAGCAGTTTCCAAGGTTCAAACCCCTATTACACGTGCAGTTTTACTTGCTACTGCAAGAGTATTAATCAATAACGAGTCCAGTAGGAAATTATATTTAAAAGCTCTTATTGATATGGGATCGGAAGCTACATTTGTAACTGAAAGAGCAGCTCAATCTTTAAGAGCTAAAAGGCAAAGCATCAATGTTCAAGTAACGGGTTTAGGTGGATGACCAAAGAGTACAGTGCATTATCGCACCAAGGTCACTTTGAACTCATGCAGTAACAAGGTGTTGTGGTGTCAGCCCTTGTTTTACCCTCTTTGACTTCCTACCATCCAATGACTCCCATTGAGGAGAGAGACTTCTCGCATTTTTCCGATCTGACATTAGCTGATGCCAATCCCTTAAGTTGCAAACGCATCGATGTACTAATCGGCGCTGATATTTACGGTTCTATACTCTTAGAAGGCCTACGTAAAAGAGCGAGCGGCTCCCTCGTCGCTCAGCATACTATTTTCGGTTGAATTCTGTTCGGTTCAATCGGTAGAGAGGATCACTTGTCCTCTGCGATGATCTCTAACTTGAAATGTTCTATTACTCCTACGCTAGATAGCCTTGTCCAGAAGTTTTGGGAAGTCGAAGAATTATTGTTTCCTTCTTCACACTCTAAAGAAGACCAGATCTGTGAGGAATACTTTCTCTCAACTCACACACGTCTATCCACTAGTCGGTATGTTGTACGTTTACCTGTCAAACAAAGCTCAACTCTAGGCTCGTTCCATGTCGCGTCCAAATCATTGGAGCATTTAGAACTCCATCTGGCTAGAGAACCAAAGCTCACTGCAGCTAACCAAGATTTTCCATATGAATATGAATCTTTGGGTCATATGGCCCCCTTAAACGCGCAAACACATAACTCTAATTCTGTTTACTATTTACCTCATCATCTTGTTCTAAAGGAGAGTTCGTATACTCCGTTGCGTGTCATCTTTAACGCATCTTGTACGACTTCCAACGGAGCGTCGCTAAACGATTGTCTCATGACCGATCTTAAATTACAAGCAGACTTGTCTATTATTTTGCGTTGGAGAGCATATCGTTTAGACTTTACTATTGACATTGCCAAGATGTTTAGACAGATATTGATTCATCCTGATGATACAGATTATCAACGTATTCTGTGGAGAACTGCTCCGGATCAACCTGTCAATCACTATCGATTATTAACTGTCACTTATGGCATATCTTCATCTCCTTATCTCGCTATGAGAGTTCTTCAACAATTAATAGCTGGTGAGGAAAGTCACTACCCCTTAGCATCTTCAATATTACGCAATTCCATTTACGTGGATGATATCCTATTCGGTGCGGATTATATTCCCACCATTCAAGCAATGCGCGAACAACTGATCTCACTGTTGCGTTGTGGTGGATTTCAATAAAAAAAGTGGGCGTCGAATTACGATGCTCTCTTGACCGACATGCCCGAGTCAGAATTACTTTATTTGAACACAGTTCAGTTCAGGGATGTCCCCACTACTATAGTTTTGGGTGTCTCTTGGAATCCCAAGACAGATTGTTTCGCCTTTCAAATTAATCTACCTAACGTAGTCAATAATACCAAGCGTTGCTTGTTGTTGATCATTGCACGAGTATTTGAACCTTTAGGTTGAGTCGCACCAGTAGTAGTGACTGTTAAAATTCTCATGCAGGAATTATGGCTCAGAAACTTAAATTGGGATACTACTATACCGGATGACTTCCAGGGATATTAGATATCGCTTCGTCAGAGCTTAGTCGAGCTCAAATACGTTTCCATTCCACATTGGACGAACCAATCAACATCACAGATAGCTGTAGAATTACATGGCTTTACAGACGCCTCTTCAAGAGCTTACGCTGCTGTAGTATATGTACGCATCCTGGATTCGACCGCACAATTTAGCACTACGTTACTCTTAAATAAGACAAAGGTATCGCCCATTAGGATAATAAACATTCCCAGTCTGGAATTGTGCGCTGCACTATTACTTACACGACTCATACTTTGTTAAAACCATTTTAGTCATTTCTGATGTACCTATCTACTGTTGGTCTGATTCTATGATTATACTGTCATGGATTAAACAACATCCGTCTAACTGGAAGACGTTTGTAGCCAACAGTGTTTCAGAGATTCAAACTAACCTACCTCAGACAAAATGGAGATATGTATAGTCATGTGAAAACCTTGCGGACTGCGCATCTAGAGGTATTACCACCTCTGACTTAAAGAAGAATGTATTTTGGTGGTCTGGACCTCTATGGTTAAGTAAGCATTCATCTTCTTGGCCTGATCAGCCCCACATATTAATAGCCGATCTCACAGTCGAGCAGAAGTCTTCCGCGATACTTTTGGCAAGTGCGAGAAGTGCTGAATGGGACTTAATCTACTGATTTTCTTCCTGGCAGAAACTTCTACGAGTTACTGTATACTGCTTAATGCTCATTTACAAGATACAAGGAAATAAAGGGGTTAGCTGTAAATTATTAGAAAATTTAGACAAATCTACACTTACTTTGACAACAGCAGTAAATCAAGCATGTAAATTTTGATTGTTACAAATACAACAGGTTCATTTTGAAAAGGAGATAGTAGCTATTAAAGGTAATACCCCGCTATCAAAAAATAGTAGATTAACAAAATAAATTCCATTCTTAGGTAAGGAAGGGTTTTTGTGCATCGGAGGTCGACTAAGGCACGCACTTCTTTCCTTTAGAGAGAGACATCCTATTATTTTTCCCAAGTATCATCTCTCCGAATTGATTATCGATCAACTTCATCTTCAAACTCTGCATGGTGGTACTCAGTTGACGTTGCGAGTTTTAAGGCAAACTTACTGGTTGTTAGCTGCACGTACCGCAGTTAAATCTTGAATTCACAAATGTATTGTTTGCGCTCGTCGTCGTTTAAAACCAATTTTTTAACTCATGGGAGATTTACCTGCACACCGAGTCACACCCAGTCGTTCGTTTCAACATACAGGAGTTGATTATGCAGGTCCCTTCCACATATTGTCAAGAGTAGGCCGAGGTCAACATATTTTTAAATCCTATATTGCTGTTTTTGTGTCTAGCGACAAGAGCCATTCATTTGGAATTAGTGGGTGATTACACCGCCTTCGGGTTCTTGGAGGCTTTACGTCGCTTCGCAGCTCGAAAACGATTTCCTCATTAATTACCAGTTGTATGCATAAGTTTTTTCCGGTTTAACTAAGAGATGGCGCCAGCGAAAAGTACGCAGCGAATTAATTTGACACATACGTCATTTTGTTCGTCTGACATTTAAAACTACAAACACACACAAGTTGAGTCCGCCAAAAACTAGCGTCTTTGTTTTATCGTTCAGTGATCATGTCGAGTTTTGTGCCTGAAAAAGAACATTTGCGGCACGCATTGCTTTTCTTATTTAATCAAAAGAAAAAGGCTGTTGAAGTCATCGTTTGCTGGTAGAAACATATGGTGAACACGCTCCATCGATTAGAACATGTGAGACATGGTTTCGACAATTTAAAAATGGTGATTTCAATGTGAAAGACAATGTGATTTCAATGTGAGCGCTCTGGTAGACCACAAAAATGCAAAGACGAGCAATTGCAGGAGTTATTGGATGATGACCCAACTCAAACTCAACGGCAATTAGCAGAAGCATTACATGTATCACAAGAAACAATCAGCAGACGTTTACGAGCAATGGGAAAGATCAATAAACTCGGTAAATGGGTCCCACACAATTTGAATGAACGTCAAATGGAAAATCGCAAAGTCACTTGTGAAATGCTGCTTCAACGCCACGAAAGGAAATCATTTTTGTATCGAATTGTGACGGGTGACGAAAAATGGATTTATTTTGAAAACCCGAAGCGGAAAAAATCGTGGCTTTCACCTGGCGAAGCCGGTCCATCAACACCAAGGCCAAATCGCTTCGGCAAGAAGACCATGCTCTGTGTCTGGTGGGACCAGAGCGGTATTGTGTATTATGAACTCTTGAAGCCCGGCGAAACCGTTAATACACAACGCTATCGCCAACAAATGATTAATTTAAACCACGCATTAATCGAAAGACGACCGGAATGGGCCAGAAGACATGGCAAAGTGATTTTGTTACACGACAATGCGCCGTCTCACACAGCAAAACCAGTGAAAGACACCTTGAAATCGCTTGGATGGGACATCCTTCCGCACCCGCCGTACTCCCCAGACCTGGCGCCATCTGACTATCACCTCTTCGCATCAATGGGGCACGCGCTCGCAGAGCAGCACTTCAGCAATTTCGAGGAAGTTGGAAAATGGCTCGACGAATGGTTTGCCGCAAAAGACAAGCAGTTTTTCTGGCATGGTATTCATAAATTACCTGAAAGATGGGCGAAATGTGTAGAAGCCGATGGCCAATATTTTGAATAAAAAAAAAATTAATTTCCCTTGAAAATTATGTGTTTTTTTTTTTACCAAAAAACCGGAAAAAACTTATGCATACACCAGATATATAGCGATAACGGAACCAATTTTCGAGGTGCACAACGCGAGTAAGATCGCGCATTTAAGGCCTTATCTCGAAATTTGTATCTTGCCGCTCATCTGGCCAGTGATGGGGTTGATTGGCGTTTCATACCACCTTCAGATAGAGGAGTTCACTTCTTTATTAACACAAATAGAAGCATGCTTGAATTCCAGACCTATCGCTCCACTATCGAATAATCATAATGATCTTCCTCCTCTTACTTTTGCACACTTCCTGGTTGGGGAAAATTTGGTTACGGTACCTGAGGAGTCTGTTTTGGATCTAAAGGAGTCACGCTTAAGTTGTTGGCAGCGAGTGCGACGATTACTTGAGCAATTTTGGCGTATCTGGTCTACAGATTATTTAAATATGTTGCAACAACGAAGCAAATGGAAAAGTGTACAACCTAATGTTCAATTAGGTGAGTTAGTCTTATTGCGCAACGACTTATTACCCACTTCTAAGTGGGAATTAGGACGAATAGTCTTATTTATCCCGACGAGAATGAGCAGGTGCGCGTGGTGGACCTGAAAACTATTTCAGGGATCTATAAGCGTCCTATTACAAAATTAAGTAGGTTACTTAGCGTGCTCACCCAGAGATACGATTTGAGTCAATCCCGGTAAAGTGGGCGGCGGCCCTATTATATGTAAATTATCTTTCATTTTTTCGTTCTTCTTATCTTGAGGTAATCATTCTCTCCTTACTTTGCGTTCTTTCTTAATTTATTTCGTAAATACGAAGTGGGCGGTATGTTCAGAACTTTACTTAAGAATGCGTGATATTTGTTAAAGTACATATTGCGTCGGTAACACGTGCCAAAAAGGAGTATTCAGGACCAACGGGTTGGGTAATGCGTAAGTGTTTTATCGAACACGTATTATGGAAAGTGGTGCCATCCCATATTATTTGTACTGACTCTTTGACGCTTGATATTACGCGATGTGTATGTTCGCTCGTTAGAAGAGACGAGAGAGGCCCGAGAGCCGTGTTAAAAAACGCATCGTTCTGTGTATTACTCCGACTCAGAAAATCCACCGCTCCGTATACTGTGTCGTGCCTCTACTATCGCCTGCGGGTTACAATAATTAGTGGATTTAGGGTATTAATAAAGGCGTATCAAACTCCGGAATTGTTGAGTTCAATTAATACCAAGAATTCCACAAGCGGTTCGAGACCATGAGACGAGTCTACGGTAAAACTCAAAGCAGCGAGCATAAACGGCATCGAGCTACTTGCCATTGCCACTACATTTATTGAAATTTAAGCAATGCAGTCGGCGCAATAAAGCGCAAGATTAGTAATATGTTGCAGTAATAGAAAGAATGCAAAGTCGAGGTTACGTCGAGACAATATATAACATGAGAAAAATATATTTTTCATAAATTAAAATACTAGAGTGTAGCATATATTTTCTTGTTTATTTTATTTACATTATACCAACAAATATATTCCTGCAATATTTTTTACAAATTACTTTAACTACTCCTTCATATATTGTAACGAGGCGCCCTAATGCCTTCGTTCCGGCCAAAGCCACCATGGGCCGGTAAGCGTGCGATAACACGAGTCAACTACTCGCTGACCAGTTTCATGAGTAGTACGAGGATTGCTACTTATATTTCTGGCCTAATAATAAAAAAACTAATATTTATGATCGAAATTGGTTTTATTGTTTTTCAAAATATTCTGCATGTTGATCAATAAACTTTTGCATGTGTTTGAACCAATTTTCGAAACACTTTTTCTACTTCGATTGAGGTAACTGCAAAACATGCGTTTTGAATGCATAAACCGCTTCTTCGGGTGTCGAAAATCGTTCACCACGTAATTTATTTTTAATGTGCGGGAACAAAAAAAAATCAATGGGTGCCAAGTCAGGGCTGTACAGCGGATGACCCA